GCCGCCTTCCAATCTCAGAAAATCCAATTTTTTCCACTTCGTCTTAGCTCTGTACGACAGGCAGGGGCAGCCCGTGGAGATTGAGAGAACGGCTTTTGTGGACTTTGTGGAGAAAGAGAAAGTAAGTCCGCCCCTTACCTTCAATACTCAACCAACAAAAAAATTAAGAAAAGCAAAAAACAAACCCAAACCAACCCACCCGAACCCTCCTCAGCCCGACTGAACCGCCCCACAGACCACGTGCGGGTTCCCCCCGTTATTTCGGCCGCTCCCGGATAAAATCCCGGGCTTAGGGAAAACTTATCTCCTCGTCCCCGGCTTATTTTAACGCGGGGCTAAGCGGCTAAACGTGACATATTCGCACCGAGGTCATGACATCATCGTCAGCGCCCCACAAAATGGGCTGAATCGCTGCAAACTGGTGATGCCGCTTCAGGGACGAGAAAAATGTGCGTCGGGAGGAGGGGGACACTTTATTTTTGCTTCGTGCTAAATGTAATTATTTACCGTTGCTTGCAGGAGCCAAACAATGAAAAAACTAACAATGGGATTCATTATAAACTTCAGTTATTGTATAGCAATGGTAAGTTGCCGTGCCCTCGTTTTTCGAACGCCGCGCAAAACTCTTCCTTTCTTTTTCAAGGCCTTTTGGGAAGGGATAGAAAAGCTTGTTTGGGGTGGTTTTGGTTTTTTTTTTTGAGCTTAAAATTACACGCGTGTAAACACGGCTCTTGCCTTGGCATATAAGGAAAACAAACCAGAAACGATCAATAAGTCAATGGTACTTCACATGATTAACCGGCTGGTCTTGAAGTGGAAAGTCAAAAAAAAAAAAAGGGGATCGATTGCTGCTCCAGCAGAGCGGCACTTGGCGGGGACTTTTTTCCCTTTTTTCCCTTTTTCCCCCCCTACTTTTGCGAATCACTGGTGATTACTGGGAAGGGGCGAGCGGAGGGAGCAGGCCGAGGGGAGGGGGGGGTCGGGAGCGGGGTCCCCCAATGCGGGACGAGCCCGCGGGGGGATGCGGGTCCCGCTGCCCGAAGCTCCGTGTCCCGCGTCCTCCCCTCCAGCCCACGAAGGGAGGGGGGGGTGCGTGGGGCAGGGCCCCCCGGTGCCGGGCTCAGCAGTGAGCGAGAACACCCTCGTGAGGCGATCTCTGCCCTTCTCCTTGTTGTTCTTCTTAATTTTATTGGAAATGTTCCCCGGTGCGAGAACCGCTCCCTGCCCGGCGCGGGGAACGGCCCGACCCGCCGCTTTCCCCCTGTCCTGGGGCTGCTGGGCGGTGTAAAACCCTGACGGGGATTTGTCTCTGCTTTCCCAGGAGTCCGGACGGAGCAGGACCTGTATGTTCGCCTAATAGACTCGATGACCAAACAGGTGAGAAAGTTTACGCTTTTCTTAACACGCAAGTTAAGTCGGTGGGTTTGCCCTTGTTTGGGGAGGGGGGTGTGAGGATGGGGAGGGGATATCAGCCCCATAATCCGCACCCACCTTTCATTTACCTGAGTGAGCGATTTCCATACCTGTTAAGCCGGGGTATTTTGAAAGCCAAACCCAAAAAGGTGTGTTGTTGCTGTCGGAGGGAGCGTTGGCACCAGAGAATCGTGTGTGTGGCACCAAGTGCAGCGTCATGGGAACAGATGTTTGGTATCAGTCACTTAGTGAGGGAGAGAGGGAAGAAAGAAAGGGAGGAAGGAGAAAAAAAAACCAACACAAGGCAGCAAGTTGCCGAGATTTATTTTTAAACGCACTTTCCCCCTCTCTGTAACTTGTTGTGGGGATGTTTTTCCTCCCCGAGAAAAGGGCAGCCCGGGACGGGCCGGGATTAGGTGCTTTTCTTTCATAACGCGAGACGTTTCTTTGGATTTAAAAGTTAAATGTGCTGAGGTGAAAAGTCACCTTGTTCTCCTCTGGTCCAGCCTCACCTCTCAGCCCCCCATCTCCATAATTCAAACTCCGTGCTCCAGGGGTCACCCGCCCCCGTCCCTTTCCCTGGGATCAGCTTCTGTTCCTTCCCCAAACCTCTGTCAGGGCTTGTAAATAACATAATTACAAGCAGTTCCTTATTCAATTATTTAACCTGTCTTGGTCAACTTTTCCGATGATAACTACGTGTTATCAGCGTTGCCCCACAACAATTAAAGGCAGAAAGCTCCTTGCTGCCTTGGGATTTCATCAACTTTTTTCCCCCCCCTTTTTTTCTTTTCTCTCTTTTTTTTTTAAACCGGAGAGAAATTTCACAGTTTAAATTTTTTAAAATTATTATTATTATTGTTATTATTATTTTTTTGAGGGGTGGGGTGGACGGAGAGGAAGGCAAGGCTGGAGAATAAATTGACAGTGTTCTGGAAATCAGATACCAGAGCTGGAAATGAAAACCATTCCAGCGATCTGCCGGGTTTTAACACCCCCGCCGTGCTCTGCCTGCCTGCCCACAGGCAGCACCTTGGG